ATGGAGACCTGAATGGCCAATAAACATATGAGAAAATGCTCCCGATCATTAGCAATAAGAGAAATGCCAATTTAAACAACTATGAGATACCACCTAACACCCTTCCCTTGAGGACAACCTAAATCAGAACATCAGAGAGCAGCAAATGTGGGAGAGGATGTGGTGAGATAGGACCTCTCCTCCGCTATTAGTGGTCATGTAGATATGTACAGCCACCGTGGAAAGTGATCTGGCCATATTTAAAGCAAATGGAAATTGAGTTACCTTATGACCCAGCAATACTTGGCATATACCCAGAAGAAATAAGAAACAGACCAGGAGCACTCGTATTCACTCCAATGTTTATTGCGGTGCAATTCACAATCACAAAGAATAGGAAATGACCTAAATTTCCATCGATAGACAAGTAGATTAGAAACGTGGCATATACACACAATGGAGTACTATGCATCACTAAAAAGCACTCATGATCACATGAAGCACATTATCTTATGGGAAAAGTTGGAGGAAGTTAGGTCTAAGCAAAGTTGGCCACGTACAACATGAATCCACTGAGGTAAGTATAATCAGCACAGTAGGTAGAGAAGAAAAACCACTTATCTCACACTTTGCTGGTTGAGGTACAGGCAATCGGGTAGGGGAAAGACCAAAAAAGAGAGAGGGAGATGAGGTACCCAGGGAGCAGGACACTAATCCACCCAGGGGAAGGTGTTTTTATGTCTCCACAGAAGTGTGAGTGTGAGTGCAGACCCCACCATAGTACACCAAATCTTGCAGGCAACATAACTACACGGAGCAAGTCATCAAAAGAGAGGGCTACGGGGCCGGCCCCAACAAGAGCCAAACTGACCCCTCCCCATGTGCTACGGAGGACAACACTAACCCGACAGGGTGAGAAGAGGGGCTGGCCTGCCACACCCATACAGAAGCAAACCAAGAAGGAAAAGAGAGGGTGAGGGACTAGTCCCCATCCTGGCACACCAAGCCTTGAGGACCATGTCCCTGCATGGAGCTGCTAAGGCACAGAAAGGACTGTGACCACATGTCTCGCTTTTGGCGGGACAGTCCCAATTTTTAACAATTTTTCCCCGCATCCCGCGGTGTTTTAAAAAAGTCCCAATTTTTGGAAAGAATGCACGACAAGCTAGGGTATATGGTTTTCGGCTGCCATGTGGCTATTTTGCCAGGATACGAGTTTTATCAGTGGTGTCCCGCTTTACCAATGTTAAAATCTGGTCACCTTACGGGCCAACTACAGTTTGAGACATGATGTCCCCTCACTGGAGCATACCACGACAGAGGACAATGCTGGGGACACACAGTGGAGAGTGAGTCTGATCTGAGCCCATCCCCTCCCCCCTCACCTCCGTCCCCCAATGGAGTGAGCCAAGAAGGGAAAATAATGGGAGCAAAGCCAAGTCACAAAGCCCCCGAGGAGCCCCCCAGATAGACTTCAGGCTAGGAGGGGCAGTTGCCGGAACTCCTCAGGACAGATGGGGAGATAGTCATAAAAGTTAGTGGACAGACCTGGAATTATGTTTGCTTTCTCATTTCATTTCTCTTCTATTCAATCTTTTGTTTTCTTTTTATTTCTGCCTCTGTTTTTGTTGCTTTGACTAGCTACATGAGGTAGGCATGGGAAGCAAACCCTGGGAGAAAGCAATGGACTGCCGGTCCCAGAAGGACTGGGGGAGGAGGAGGTGGGCAAAAGGAGTGGTGAGCAAACAACGTCATAGACAAGGGAATGACTAGGGAATTAAAATCAACAACGAGGAGGACATAGAGATCTTGGGGGTGTTGGAGCAAGAGCAATCTAGCTGAGAGAAGTTACTAAGAGGCAGAAAAAGGGGGAGCATGATGGTGGGGCAGGAGGAAGGTAAAAGGAATCAGAGGAAAGACCGAGGAAGCAAAGCTATGGATAGAGGTATAAACATAGGTGTGTACATATGTAAATATATTAATTCATAAAAATAGAGATATTGGCCTAGTTACATATGTTTATATGGCAATACATTCCTCCATGCAAGAGCACTTTGTTCCAACAACCAGGCATTCTGTGATGCTCACCCTCCTGACACGATCACTGCAGACAAAACCGGTGCATAAGCAAATGTGGTGAAGAAAGCTGATGGTGCCCGGCTATCAAAAGATATAGCATCTGAGATCTTAAAGCCCTGAAGCTGCCATCTAGCAGAGAAGCAACAAATCCACATGGAAGAAGCACACCACCCTGTGAGATCAGGCAGCAGAAAACCCAAAATTAACAAACAAAAACATATTGTTGAGAAAGAAGGGGTTGGAGCAGAAACCCAAAACCCATCTGCGGACAATAGGACATCCGCTCACAGAAGGGTCACAAGGAAGGAATGAGTCAAACAGGGCACAGTATAGCACCAATGAAACACACTGTTCCTCTGGTTCTTTGAGGCTTCCTCACCCCCCACCATCATGACCAGTCTGCCTTTCAGTTCTGGATAGACTGGAGCACATACACTGGTACAGACAAGGGCTCTCCACACATGGAATCCAAGTCAGATAAACCCCTGAGCAACAGAAATGGGTCAGTGATACCAGAAGGTTAGGGGCTGATGGGGGGAGGAAAGAGGAACTGATGGCAATGATCAACGCCTATCTCCCCGCCCCCCACCAAATGGTACAAACAACAGAAACATGGGTGAAGGAAAACAGTGGTCGGTGTAAGATATGAAAATAATGATAATTTATAATTTATCAAGGGGTCAGAAAGGTGAGAAGAGGGGTAGGGAGGGGAAAAAGAGGAGTTGTTTAAGGGCTCAAATAGAAAGTAAATGTTTAGAAAATGATGATGGCAGTATATGTACAAATATACTTGATACAATCGATGTATGGATTGTTATAAGAGCTGTAAGAGCCCCTGATAAAAGGATCTTTTTGAAAAAAACTTAATAGCTGAACTATGGATTTGAACCAGACTGGATTTAACTAGACTGCTTCTAACACGGTGTGAGCCACTTGGTACACAATTAACCCTTGCTTTTGCTTCTGTAGAGAACCCAGCTCACAGAGGTGCCTAAGTGCTCAACGTGACACCCTTGTTCTGAAACACTTTAACGAGGTCCTGTGTAGCAGATTTGTCAAAATGTAATATGTTGTTTGATTTCTTGACTGCTGCTCCATGAGCAGTGATCGTGGACCAAAGCCCAATGAACTGCTTGATGATTTCAATCTTTTCCCTTTTTATCAGGATGGTGTGTAATAGACCAGTTGTGATGAGTTCGTTTTCCTTACATTGAGTTGCAATACATTCTGAAGGCTGTGGCCCTTGAACTTCATCAGCAAGTACTTCACATCTTTCCTGCCAGCAGCAGGCAAGGTTGTGCCATCTGCTTATCACCGACTGTTAATGAGTCTTTCTCTAACCCTGATGCCATGTTCTTCTTCATGTAGTTCAGCTGTTCAGATGAGGTAGTTAGTCTATTGTGCCAACCTGGACGATAAACACATGTGGGGTTAATTGAAGGGCGGAGGGATAAATGGCTCGGTGAGCCTTGCCTTTCAAGTTCTCGGGTCTCTTGCTTTCTGATGGTTGGACCAGGGTGCAGCTGCCTTAGTCAGTTCCCTGATTCAGCTGTCAAGCCTCACTTTCTGCAAGACATCCCCGAGGAGAAGCTGCATGGACCTACCCCGATGCAGCCCTGGATGCTGGAGCAGCTGTGTGGAGACCCCTGCCAGCCCTGAGATGTTTACACGTTCACTGACTTGGCTTTCTTCCTGCAGTCGGCATCATAGTGTGTGTTTTGTGAGATGGAGGAGGACTTTGTGGATTGGTGTTGGACATATGGGTTAATGTTGGACTTGTGGGCTTGGGCAGCACTGGGTTGAAATGTTTTCTTGATATGCACTTACCCTTGATATAAAACTCTCTCTTATACAAGAGTTTCTGTGGATTTGTTTCCCTGAAGTACCCAGACTAATACACAGATTATTTGATCAGCATACAGATTGAATAAGTATGGCGAAAGAATGCAACACCAATGTCACATTATTTTTCATATAATATGGCTTTTCAAATTATTTTCTTAGCACACACATTGAATAAGTAAGGTGAGACGCTACAACCCTGATGTACACCTTTCCTGGTTTTAAACAATGCAGTGTTCCCTTGTTCTGTTCAAACAACTGCCTCTTGGTCCAGGTCCAGGTTCTGCAGGAGCACATGAAATGTTCTGGAATTCCCAGTTCTTCTCACACAATTGAATGCCTTTTGCACAGTCAACAAAATACAAGTAAACATCTTTCTCGCATTCTTATTTTTTTCACCCCCCATCCATCAGCTGTTTGCAATGATATCCCTTGCTCTGTGCCCTTTGCTGAATCTGGCTTGAATTTCTAGGGGTTCCTGTTATATTTTTAAAGAAAACTCTCATTTCAGTTTCCGTCGCATAGTTTTTGTCTGTCTTCAACTTCTAATTCTATCCTTGCTTGTGTTTCGACAGTCATAAATGTAATTCATGTATCTAGAAGCTTCTTTACAATGGTTAAGTCCTCAGAATGGACAGTCTCTTTCTTCTTCGTAGTGTGTCTTAACCTGGAAGCCCCACGGACACCTGTGCATCACGTGACCCTGCTGGTCTTTGGAACAGTAGAGACCTAGCTTTCAACATCACAGCCACATGCATGCCAGCGCAGTATGACAAACTGGCAGAAGAATGGTGAAATAAGAACATTACCACACCCAATTTGTGGAATTTGATCAGGTTATAAAAGAGGGGCATTTAAAATTTTCTCAAATTCTACAGTAGAAAATAGGCGATTTGCTTTTCTCAACTCTTCTACACCCATGCGTAAAATCAGCCTTTGCATATACTGAGCTGCGCTATACCTGTCTTCTTCCTTTGTCTATTTTTGTAAAGCTATGCTGAATGGTGACTTCCTCAAATCTGATGCGCTCTAGCGTTCCTTGAAGTGAATGGTCATTTTGATGCGAGAACATCTCCACTAACATTCCTGACCTGGCCCTCATGCTGCGGAGCCTCCTGCTGCTGATCTGTGGTGAGTAGGCAGAGCACAGGACCCTGTCCCCCGGGGACCTTGCTTTCTAAAGCGCTGTGGGCATTGCTTAGGGCCAAGTTGCTTCCTGGGAATGCTCAGGGCTCTACTTTGAACTGGGAATTTAGGGTCAGGCAGGAGGATACCAGAAAGCCAGCAAAGAAAGCTCTCATTTCAGTTTTTATCGCAGTGCCCAGTCTCTCTTTCCCACTACTAATTCAATCCTTGCTCTTGATTCAAAAGCCATAAATATAACTTATGCAAACACTTGGCTGCTCAATGGTTTCCTTTATTGCTATGAACAGTATTTCTCTGCGGTCCTCCTTGCACCCCTGACCTATTGTCAAAACTTCAAACTTGCTATTACTAACAATGACCCAGCTTCCCAAATTGTGATTTTTAGCAACTTCTCTAATCACCACTTACCTACTCACTCTATTTCGCACTCCATTTCAGCGCATCTTCAACTCAGCAGGCTCACCTTTCATGGTCAATTCCTCCTCTCCATGTCTTCGTTTCTTAGACTTTGTCACTCGTCACGATGAGCTCCCCTTGGTGACATCCTCCTTCCACAGCATTTGCCCAATAACCACAGCTCTCCGTGATTTGCGCTTGTGCCAAAGGCTTGAATGTGGAAAGCATAGTCTTGCGGACTTATCTCATTTTAAACGTAGGACCCCACGCTCCAGGAAGGTCTCCTGTGCTTTCATACTTCATGCATTCCCATTCTTTCTTCTTCTTTTTAAAAGAGTGGATACAATTTATTTCACAGAAAACTCTAAGAGTGAACTTTCATCAGAGTCTTCTTGATGACCACTCTTGGGGACCTTCTTTCTCCTCCAACTCTCCTTTCAACTCAATTTGTGGTCTTGCTTCATGTGTCACCGGCAAAATAGAAGCAACCAGAGAAGAATTTTCCTCATCCTCCGACTGCCGTATCTACCCACTGAGGCACATCTGGACTCCCAGCTGTAGCTTGCCTTCACATCTGTAACTTGCCTTCTTTCCGCAAATATACTGTCTCCCCTCCAAGTCCAGGTGGCACGATGGGTTAAAAGTTGGATGACAAACAGAAAAGCCAGCAGGTTAAGCCCATGAGATGCTACATGGGAGGAAGATGAGGCAGTATGATTCTATAGACATCCCTAGCTGGGAAGCCTTAGGGACCCGTTCCATTCTTTTATCGGGTCCCTAGAGTCAGAGCCTCCTCAATAGCACTGGCTGTCATTGGGCTTCTATTTAAGACAGGATTATCCTCTGTGTATTGGGTCCCTGGTCCTCTTGCAGTTTAAAAACTTTGTCCCGTCATAAAGTTATTTGTCCATTCTTTATTATCCCTAGGAATATACATACATGCCATGATACTTTTTTATCTGAAAACATGGGAAATGACCTGCTTGTCTCTTCCATTTCCTGCGTCATTTCTCGATCTCCGTTTACAAAACTGTCAGTGAGTCCTTCACTTTACCTCTTCCCCTCTTTTCTCTTTAACGTTCATTTTAAATACACATTGCCAGAAAATGAATTTTTTAATATCTGTGAATTGTGAAAAATGTCTAGACATGTAACCACAAGGACAATCAGATTATAGAATATTTTATCACTTCAAAAATTCCTTCATGCCTTTCTTTAAATTTTTTCTGCATCCCTAACCCTTGACAACTTGTGAACTGTTTTAAGCTCTCTGTTCTTTCTCTCCTCTTCCCATTCTTTCTTGAATCCACTTCAATCAATATTTCATCCTCACCACAGCACGGAAACTGTTCTTCATAAGACTATCAACCACCTCCAAGTAGCCCCACTGGCAGAATAATTCTAATTTCTCATTTTACTAGGTCTCTCAAGATTGTTGGGCACCACTATTCTTGAAACATGTTTTCACCTGGCTTCTGGAACACCATACACTATTGGTTTTATTTTTTAACTCAGTAACTGCTGGTTCCCACTTTTATAAATGGTCATCCTTCTACTGCCCTCTTTAAGGCTGATACCTAGACTTCTCAATCCATACATATGTCCCCAGGTAACATTATCTGGCCACGTTAGGTTCTTACATTGATGTCTCTGGATTTGGCCCCTCTTTTAAACACCCTTCTTCTAGGCAACTGCCATTCAAGTGGGAAATAAGTGTCTTAAACGTAATTTACCAAACAGACCTCTTGACTGTATACCTGTACTGGTACCACCCCAAAATTTAAACTATTTTTCTCCATGACTTTTCTATGTATTTGTCCTGTAAAATAGAGATATGAGGCAAAGAAACAAAACCACTGAGGAATGAAACATTTTTCTCAGGGTCACAAAGTTTGCATGACAAAGAATCAGTATTTAATTACACACTATCTGGCCACAGAGCCTGCATTGCCCCCAGGTTTTCCTCTGGATAATTATGCCAAAATATGAAGGTCTGATCCTAGAAAGTATCTTTGAAGAGATCTGTATTCCTTCTTGGGTCTCTAAGCTTATTCTAGTCTGAATTGGGTAAATATAGGGTTCCATTACTTTGAAGATGAGACCATCCAGTTTGGTCTGACTGTGTTGTTACTATGAACAGTGAGTCTTCAGCTGGATCATGGAGACTTCGGAGAGAGCTGGAAGTGAGGGGCTTAAAGAACTGCCAAGTGGTTAAAAGCAAAGGCACCATTTCCTAGCCCCAGATGAAGACAAGTGATCGTAAATGACACTCTGATCAGTTGTTCACATGTTGTTTTGTGGGTGATGTGGAACGTGGGGAAAGAGAGAGAAGAAAATAGAGAAGGAATGGGAAGAAGGAACAAGCGGTGGGAGGAAGGTGGAGGAGGGAGAAGGGGCAGCAGAGGAGGAGGGAGGGGAGTTCAGGAGGAGGGTGGGTAGATCAGGGAAGGACAAGGGGGAAGGAGGGTGGATGGCCGAGGCAAACTTTGTCTGCTAGGATTTGCTGCTCTCTACTGATCTGCGCTGCGTTTTCTTCCAGCTCCCCTCTGTGAACCCGTTGGTGAGTTGCACTTCCTGTTCTTTGTGGTACATGGGCACCTTGACACTGAAGTCATCACGGGAGACCAGTGGATGGATGGCTGAGCAGTCTCTGCTCACCCGACACCTCCTCCCCCCCACCCCCCACCCCTTCTGTGACCTTGCAGATGCCAGCTATTCCCTTGGGCCAGGACTGCTCTATTTACACCAGTCTCTGCACTGACATGTGCATGCTCAGCGGGGGAGCAGGTCTTGCTCCGAGCTTCTCAAGCCCACAGTCTTATGCTGGGGAAATTCCCTGTATAAGGAAGGCAGAGGGTGCTAAAAATTGATGCTGGGAAATTTCTGTCCTCCCAGCCTCAGGGGTGCAAAGCTGGGTGCCTGACACCTGTACGCAGCCAACTTCCAGTCAATCCCCAGTCCCCACCTTACACGGTGTAGTTGCTGCTGCCTCCTTCTGGTGCCACTAGCCTGAACCTCTGCGCCACCTGCTACACCAGCACATTTTCTCTCTCAGGTGTATGTAAACAAATTGTGCTCTGATCCTGATTCAGTTTCACCTTACCCAGAAGATGAGGGGGGCAAGGTCCCACCATAGGGAGTCTTTCACTAAGGCATGTTTACATCTAATGACTGTCAGACTTGTTTCCTTGTGCATCAAAGAGGTGATCCTTCAACTTTAAGAACTAGGAGACGCCGGCCGAACTTCTCGTGGATTAGAATTTGTGTCAGAAGAGAGTCTTAGAATAAATTCCATATTGGAGTCCCGTGTTTGCCCAAGTTGGACTCCTGCTTTATGTGTTTATTTGAGCTCTAAAACCACATGCCTAATCCAAGCCTCAGGTAGGAATCAAAAGCTGTGCTAAAGATGAAGGGGGAAAGTCTCTGTCACCAAGGATTGGCCAGGTCATCTCTGCAGCTTGGGAAGGTTCTGGAAGGAGCTCTGGGCTGTAAGACTGAGCTCACAGTAAGGCCAGGCCAGTCCCC